TCTTCTGACCTTTGTTGTAGATCTTTGTTGCAGTTATAGCCTTAGCACCTACTGAAGTTCTGCTGTAGATCTACAAAGTTTGGATTTATCCAGCTGTGCCTGGCTTGGGTCTGGCTGCTGTGCTCAGTTCCCTCCTGTTGCTGCCCTTGGGGCTGAACCTGTTGTGCCCCTCTGGCAAGACGTTCTGCTCCTGGACTAACTGGGTGGTTCTGTCCCGTACACTCTCTGCAGGGATTGCAGCTGAAGGGTTTCACCCCAGGCCTGTATGCCAGGGCTGAGCTGAGTCTGGAGGGACAACGTGGAGTAAGGGGGAAAGGCATCTCTTCCACACACTCACCAGGCCTGGACTAGGACTGGATCTCGGGGTTCCCAGAACACGACAGAATTTCTACTCTGTGGGGGTGTGTGTGGTGGGGTACTATGGAGTATGCGGGGGCGTCCCAAGAGAGTGAAGGAGGGTGTCACCCATGCTGCGCCTGGGCTGGGACCAGTAGGTGTTGCCAGCACAGGGCATCCAGAAGCTCTCCAACACACTCACCGGGCCTGGGCTAGGACTGGATCTGGGGGTTCCCAGAATGTGGCAGAAATTCCTACTGGGCAGGCAGGGTAGGAGAGGTGGTGCGGAGGGGTGGGGGGCGTCCCAAAGGGCTGGAAGAGGGTCTCACTCACGCTGCGCCTTGGCTGGAACCAGTAGGTCCCGCCGGCGCAGGGTAGCTGGAAGATCTCCCACCCACTCACGAAGCCTGGGCTAGGACTGGGTCTGGGGGTTCCCGGATCGTGGCAGAAATTCCTACTCGGCGGGTGGGGTAGGGGTTGTGCTATGGAGTGGTGGGGGGTGTGTCAAGGGGGTGGAAGAGGGTTTCATCCACGCTGTGCCTGGGCTGGGACCAGTAGGTCCCACTCGCGCAGGGTAGCCAGAAGCTCTCCCACACACTCACCAGGCCTGGGTTAGGACTGGGATTCCTATTATTTTGCTTAGTGAAATTCTGTATCTTTTCTAATTTTTTTTCTTTCACTATTTTTTATTCTCTTTAAACAATTTTAGAGAGGTGAATTTGGGTTAACTGGATCATATCAATACTAAAAGTCCCAAAGAACATGATTTTGGGTATTCTGAATATGTCATGCTCCTAGAATTTCATTTAAATATACAGAGTGGCATGGTTTTATTTGCATCTTTTTCAAAAACATTCTCAGAATTATCAAACTATGTAGAATGAAAATCTTTAGACACTGAGTCATTCATTTGCAGTCTCCTCTACTACATTAATACTGATGTCATATTTTCTATTCTTATTGAGGTTTCCCAAGTCTAATCAAAACAAATTAATTTTCTGTGTTACTGAATTGAAATCTCAAAACTAAGCCACATATTCATGGCGTGAGATGGCCCCAGACACACCTCCCACCCGATTACTGCAGGAACTCCAGAGTGAGAGCCACGCTTCGTGGAGTCTGGCCCAACCAAGCCAGCGGCTGCAGATGCCAGCCTGCCTCACGGTGCAATCACCTTGTCGCTCTGAAGTTCCAGTACTTAGAAAGAAAGCGAGGCCTGCCATTAAAACTTAAGAGAGAAATACAGGAAATCCCATCTAACTCACACTTGGGTAATTTTTTTAGGACAAATTTTCAGCTGTCACTTGTACTTCAGACAAGCTCAGCATGTAGACTAATGAACAGCAACGTCAGCTTGTAGATGCAATTAAGAAGGAGGCCAGGAAACAACACTTGTCAGTTACCAGATTATTCCTTCTGTCCCAGGAAGACCTCAGCGATTTGTCCAATTATCGACGATTAGCTTTTCACTCCTGGCTCCTTCTTTAGGGCTCTCTCACAGCTCTACATCAGACATGTGACAGCGTTTGACTTTCTTTAAATTCCTCAAGTTCATTTAGAGGAAACTTTCTCTGGCTGAAACTTTCCAATGCCTAATGTGTTTATTTTCCTTACATTATGAACTAATTTTTGTCTTTAGGCTAACAGTGCCATTACTGTTCTTTTTACTCTGTGCAGGAATGCTGCGGGGGTGCCGGGAAGGACAACGAAAGCAGGACAAGCCACCTAGAAGGGCAATGTCCCTGGGTGTGTGCCTCTGCTTTCTGTCCCCTCTCCACAGCTGGGGCTCTGTACTACGCTGGCATCGGTCCAGGGCTGGCACCAGAAATAGATTCTGTCTCACCTGTTGGTTTCTCCAGTAAAAAAAAAAAAAAAAATCTCTGTCAAGGAACTTCGGTGTCCCCTGAGGTGACCAGAATAGAACAAATGGAATCACTTCAGGGGAAACAGGGCAAATAGGCAAGAGAAAGTAACTAATATGGGTAATGATGGAGTTGAGATTTTTTTTAAAATTTGTGACATTTTTTAATGAAGCACTGTGGGTAAGATGCCATGATTTTAAGTAATGCATACATCTCCTTAATGTTTTAGAGAAATAAGAAAAACTGGGTGATTTGAAAAGTAATACACTCTTAATAGAAATGGACACAACAGGTATTTTCTTTCAACATTGTCAGTGTTGGCATGAGTTGATTCAGTGCTATACTTCCTTTACAGAAAGCTAACAAAATAATGAAAAAAGGGTGAGGAGACAGCTTGGCGGTCTAAGTGCCTGCCTGACAAGCTCAAGGACCCAGGTTTGATTCTCGGTACTACATGCTGCGCTGGCCACCAAACCAGGCATGGTGGCGCACACCTGTAATCCCAGTGCTGGGGAGGCTGAAACAGGAGGATCACTATGAGTCCGAGTTGCCTAGAAAGACCCTGTTCCAAATACATAAATAAATAAATATTTGCATTTAAAATAAGTAAATGAATCTTATAACTTGCCACTGTTTTTGTGCATAAAAGCATTTTGATAAAGCTGGACTTATTGGTGTAGAACAAGAAACTTGGTAATTTTTTTTGTGGAACTGGGATTGAACTCATGGCCTTGCACTTGCCAGGCAAGTGATTATTCTACTGAGCTATCTCCCCTGTCCCTTAATTTTTCCATAAAGTTAACTTATATTTTAAAAAGCTCTCTAGAATAAGTAACAGGACAATTATAAAAATGCTTTTACTTGAGGCTGGGGAGATGGCTCAGTAGAATAAGCACTTCCCTGGCAAGTGCAGGGGCCTGGGTTCAATCCCCAGTTCCGCAAAAAAAAAAAAAAAAAAAAAAAAAGTTTTAACTTACTAATCATTAGGAGTCCCACCCTTACAAGCTTTTATAAAAGATGGCCTGTCATTTATGTCTTGAAAGTTAGGCTGATGCTTGTGAAGGGCTGAGAGTCCCATAGCGGTCTGAGCTGAGATTCACTGCACAGCCCCAGGGACGCCTGACCCAGCTGCACAGGGAAGCGTGGGGACCGGAAGGCAGGGCACAGAGCTTGGCCTGACTTTTGGTGGTGGCTCCTGGCTCACCTACTGATGAGCACTGAGACCCTGGTGAGTTATTTAACATCACTCTGCCCTGACTTTGTTGTCTGCAGACAGAGGCAGCTGCTCCTCCTCAGCTTGTTCCAGGAGCGAGTGTGGCCACAGTGAGCTGCAGTGGGCCCTTGAGATACTTTCTTTCCTAAACACAGTTAAAGCAGCTTACCAATCTGGGGTCGACTTCTTCGTTAAGGACGGCTTCGTTCTTTATGAGTGCCACTCTTTGTGCGAATCTGCAGGTCGATATAGACTCCTAAAAAAGCAGAAATCTTTTCTTAAAATCCTGTGGCACACAGAGAGACATCTTTCCAGATAAAACTCAAGTTTTATGCACAGCAAAAGGACTCATACCTAAAGAATGATGTGCATGAAAAAACCACAACGAAGAACCATGCTGCCAAGTGAGGGAGCTTTGCTCCAGGACATCATTTTTTTACAAAAATTTGGTTTTGGTTTAATAAAATGACCAATACTGAAAATATGGGAGAGCCTGACATCCTAAATGGCAACCGCTATGTGTTTTCAACTATTAATCTGTTAAACCAGAAATACAAATCAGCTGGTATCATAATACATAAACATGAAAGACTACAAAATAAATATTTGTAAAAGACCAAAAAGAGAAGCTTTTCAAAATGGCTCTCCCACAAAGCCTAGGCCTGCTGTTTTCTGTTTTCCTCTGTGAGGGTCGGGACCCCAAACACCAAACTGAACTGCTTGAGATGCCAGCTGATCTACAACAGTGCAGGAAAGCCACTGAGCCCCAGCTCCCGCCAAAGCATCCTACGCATGGCACCCAGTATCTGTCTAGGGACAGATCTTGGGGACATCTCTGAGCTACAGAGACCTTACTAGTCAGGGCAGAAACTGAGCAAAAGAGGCTGAGGGTCCCCTTTGCATTTCTGCGGGTAAGTGTGAACTCACAGGTAGGCTTTCCAAAAATCGCAGGGGGCTTCTTCAAACCATCCTGCACTGTGTGATGTCAGGTCTCCGGTGTGCTAGGACAAGACCGGCAAAGGACTCCGATCTGTGAAGTCTGTGGTCTGTCTGTCACTCACCCCGCACCTTCAGCTCCATCTCCCAGATGTGCAAGAGAAACTCAGCGTGAGCTCGCCAGCCAGAGAAGCCAACGCACCTCGATGTTCCTTTTCTCTAAGGACAGCGTGGCGATCATGGTGGTCATGCAGTTCCCCCCCAAGCTGTCCCTGAGGACGCTGGTCATCATGGAGTTCCTGTAAGGAATGTGTGAGCGGTTCTTCTCCGAAAGGGCGATAATGACCTGCGGTGACGAGAGGGAGGAGCTCATGTTGCGGGCAGGAAAGGCACACCACACCGTGGAGTGTGACAGCAACAGCCCACTCCAAGAAAGAGTAACTAAATGCATGGTGATGCCTAGAAATGGGGCCTAGACTGAATATCTGAAGAACATTCAGTAAGAACTGGTGATGACAGACTCAAGGAAAAGCAGCATCAACAGCACCGTGAGCCTTTTAATTTTAGACAGATGATGTACCTCTTATAGGACTGGATACGCTATTATTCTGTTTTCAGCCATTGGAAAAGCTGTATAAAAACAACAACCATGCCTGATAAATTTAATCCCACCCAAATCTGAGCTGTACCATGATAGGGAAGGCAAAACAGCAAGTAAGGATGATGGGAAGTTGCCCAGGGTAGAGGCTGAGATCCGACAATGGGACCCACCACTGTCCGGGTGAAAATCCTAGTCTTCCTAAGCATGATGTTCAACATCGCTGCCTCAGGCTCCTCTTTCATCAAACAGGGATAAATACTTGGGATGGCCAGAGAGCTGCAACGCGTGAATCACTTTCAGTAAGTCGCCTGTGATGAGTCCTGTGTGTGTATCTGCTGTCATCATGAGCTTTGGGGTAGTTTAGTTTGGTTCGACTTGGGCTTGTTCACCTTGTACCTCATGAGTTTCTTAATGGGGAGATGCTAGGGGGATGGCAGTTAGAAAGATGGAGATGGCCAGGGCTGTACCAGAGGGTCCACCAGGTGCTCTGGGCTGTCCTGGGGACATTCCCATGCTAGGAGGGCCATGGCAGAGCAGCTGGAATTAGATGCTCTCAGAAAGTGACGTCGGGGCACCTCAAGATCCTGGCTCCCAAAATACGTTGCCGACACCTGTTGTTCCAGCCCCGCCTCCACCTGGCCATGTGGTTTCCGTCAGCACAACTGTTTCACTCATTTGGTTTACAAAACGAAATGAGAAAACTTTTCTGAAGTCTGTTTTGAGCAAAAGCAAATGAACTGCACCACTGGTCTCACTTTAAATCCAGTCAGAGGTTTTATTTTAATTAATTAATTTATTTATTTGTGCAGTACCAGGGATCAAACTTGGGTCCCTGCACTTGCCAGGCAGGTGCTTATGCCACCGAGCTAACTCTCTGGCCCCCAAAAGGTTTGCTACAAGCCAGCAGCAGTTCGGGGACCTCTGTCTCGCCATCACTTTTCTACCCTCGGCTAGGAGGCCTCGGTATCCCCCCCTTCAGATCCCTATCCCCCCCTTCCCTTTCTCCCTTGCTTAGTCACCGCCCTTCTAGCAGGCACAGGCAACATAGCCAGAGCTTCCTCATGCCCCTCATGAAAGCCCAGCCCGTGCTCCACCTACCTCCTGCCCCTGCGCTGCTCCCAGCCCTCCAGCCTTGCCTGTCTCTTCTCAATGATCCCGTCAATAGCTGCCACATCCTGCCCCTTCAGCATCCCGTATTGTCACTCATCTGGGTGCCTCCCACACCACACGCCATTACTGCACGGGGCTCAGAGGACTCTGGCCTCTGTCACTGGGATGCCCTGTGCCCACGCACGAATTGCTGTCGCTAGGTGAGCAGGCTGCACCCAGCCGGGGTGCTCACTACTGCCTGTGGGAAATGGCTTCCTTGTTCATATGGTAGTCAGGACAATATGATTTCTTTTAGTTTCATCTTTTCTTTAAAAAGTTATTTAATCATTCTTTCCAAATGATAACTATTGGAACATTCCTAAACTGTGTTTTAAGTGTGTTTTGCTGTGTCAGCATAACGAGATTCGCGATAGTGCCCTGGTACATGTGCACAAAACGTCTGCAATGCCTTCATCCCTGCTGCTCCTTGCCCGCTGTCCTCCCTCCCCCTTATCTCTTCCCTAGCCCTGAACTCTTACTTGGAGTCTCCTGTCATCTCTCCTTTATCTATTGAGATTGCTCATAGTAGAGAAAACGTGGTATTTAACTTTCTCAGGCTGGCTTATTTAACTTGGCAGGGTGGTCTCCATTTATCTTTCAGTGAATAACGTACTTTGCTCTTCTTTGTGGCTGAATAATACTCCCTTGTGGATGTACACCACATGCGCCCCATCCGTCTGTCTGTCTGTCAGTCCACCCATCCATCCATCCATCCATCCATCGACAGGACAGACATGTGGGTCGCTTCCATAGCTCAGTTGTAACTGTGGTGCTTTAAACACGGGCATGCATCGCTTCTCGGCCTTTTGGCTAAGATCAAGTGTAAACACGGGCATGCGTGTGTCACTCTACTCTGATGTCTTTTAATTCTTCCAGGAGCATGCCATGGTGTGGCGGAGCTGACCAAATGGCATTTCCACTTTGACTTTGGAGGAGTCTTGGTGCGGATGGCCACAGAGGGGCGCCGGCCCTCGTGCTCACCAGCAGGGCAGCAAGGAAGCTCACTGCTTCCCACGCCCAGATTCTGCTGTCGGCCCCTTCTCGATCACAGCCTCTGCCCAGCATATGCCTTCGATCTCAGCCTCTTTCCCCCAAGCACTACCTTCTCGGCAACTCTAACCTCTCCCTCTGGATTTCTCTTCTGGGTTTCTGCTCCACTTCTGCCCTGACCCTGATTCTCTTCCAGGCCCGACCCATCGTTAGTGGCACTGTTACCACCAGTAATAACCCAAAGTGTCAGCGTTATCCTTGATTTGCTGATCTCTAAGCCAACCACAAGTTCCGTTACACTTACCTACAGAATGGGCCTAGAGCTGGGCCCCATCTCCCGCTGCCCACTGCTCTGTTTCCAGCTTCCTGGCGCCTTGCGTGGACCACCCCCTGACGCTCCAAGTCGGCACTGTCTGCCCTTCATGACCTGGTCTCCACCCGTAGCCCGAGGAGCCTTTATCAAATGTGAGTCACGCCAAGCCACTTCCCCGCTTCCGGCCTGCCTGCTCCCCAGGGCGCTCACTGCGATCCCTCAGGTCCCTCAGGGTGGAGGCACTGGTTCTGCTATGGCAGCCGTGGTGACATCCTGCAGTCCTGGGCTTCTTGTCCTAAGTGCCAGGTGGGTAACTGGAGGCTTTGTTCCACACTTAGGGGTACAGCTCTGTGTGTTCTTGTCTGCTCCCTGTTGGGCAGGAGCAAGGCTCAGCTTTCTGGATTTTCCTGAGATTCCTTTTTTTTTTTAAATCTTATTATTTATTTGGTACAGGGCCTTGCTATGAAGCTCAGACTCATAGTGATCCTCCTGTCTCAGCCTCTAAAATGCTGGGATTACAGGTGTGGGCCACCATATCCAACTTCAGTGGCTGGCATGGGTTCTGGGGCCAGCATGGTACATGGTACTAGGGATTGAGCGCGAGTCCTTGCACTTGCCAGGCAGGTATTTGTCCACCAAGCTATCTCCCCAGCCCTATTATTATTTTTTAAAGGACTGGGTATAGTTCAGTGTGAAGACCCAGGGTTCAACTGTCAAGGCTATCAAAAATGAGTAAATAAACTAGGATTCCCATGCCTACCTGTTGAACGTTTTAAATCAATCAATGTATCTTAAATGTTTTATATCAATCATTATAAGGTCAGTGCTGCTCTCAGTGAGCTCTCAGTGAGCCAAACAGAACTCAGTGCTGTGCAGTCTTCAGGAAACACTTTCCCTTCGTGATCCCTTTGGAGATCAGTTTTAGCCATGCAAAGGCCAGCCTGGGCCATTTCTTTAGGCGACGACCCTGAGCAGCCATCTTAGCTCTCCTGGAGAGTCAGGGGCACTACGCTGAGCCAGGGCCTGCTGGGGCCCGTGGAGGTCTGCAGTGACCCGGCATCCTCAGGTATTTAGGAGAGGGGCTGCTGTGGGCTCTCTCACCTGAGCAGGAACTCAGTGATCTTTGAAAAGCACTGGGGCAGGGCACACACACCCCTGCCACCAGCTGTGCATGCATGCGTGCGTGCGTGCATGCGTGCGTGTGCACCTGCGTGTGTGAATGTTTGCTTCCACCTTGGGCTTCTTGTATAAATAAAATGACAAATGTTCCTTTGGGCATTCTTTTTTATTTTTAAAAACATCTTTTACTTATTTATTTGGCACAGGGTCTCGCTCTACAGCTCAGACTCATAGTGGTCCTCCTGTCTCAGCCTCTGCAGTGCTGGGATTACAGGCGTGTGCCACCATGCTCAGTTTCAGTAGCCAGCTTGGCATGTGGCCAGCACAGCCTGTGGTTCCAGGGATTGAACCTGGGTCCTTGTGCTTGCCAAGCAGGCACTTAGACCGCTGAGCTATCTCCCCAGGCCTGCTTCAGGCATTTGTTAAGAGACAGATTGGAACCTCACATTATCCTTGTCTGTGTGGACCTAGAGGTTATGGTTGGCATCGATAATTCAGCTTACTATTTAATGAAATAAAGAGATTTTTATTTAAAGAGCTCAGAAAGGCATGAAAAATTATCTTCAGAAACGGACACCAACTTGGAGCAGTTATGAGCGGCCCTGGCCCCATTAATTATTTTCTGAGCACAACACATTCAGCAGGAGCCAAATGGAAACCGAACCTCTGAACAAGTCGAGCTTCTGTTGCATAACCGCTGAAGGAGCTGAGGCTGATGGCTGTGGGCGGAGGCGGCTGCTGCTGGTTCCCAGCCGTTGTTTCCAAGGTCTGACAGTCACCTTGGGTCACACCGGGGCCACTCAGTGAGGCTTGCAACCAGGAGCGCAAGCGTTTCTGCTCCCTGCCTTTGCCTCACATAAGCTCCACTGCTAGGGCCAAATGGACCCTGTTATTGTGATGGAAAATGTTGTTGTGATTTTTTTAGGAAACATTTTTGGAAAAGTACTGCATGCACAGAGAGGACTACAAAACTAATGCTATGCTGGCAAACACAAAGTTACGTATTTATGGTCATAACAAGGTGCAGTCGACTAGGCAGGCTGCGGCCTCCGAGCAGGTGGGAGGGCTCCCTGGTAAAGGGTCCCAGGAGGATGGCCAGAATTCTGCATGAAATTCCTAAAGCAGGGCAGCTTAAGGACAGCAAGGCAGGGGAACAGACACTTTCTATCCTGTGCCTCTGTCTCTTACGTTGGGACTGAGTGATCAATCAGCACAGTGTCTCTGGATTTCTACTCCAGCATCCGCTGACTATGTCACAGGTGTCCATGTGTGTGGCTGTTTTGCTGGTAGTGCGACAGCAAGGCCTTCCTGCAGTCACGCATTTGTTCCTTTGACTGCTGTAGCTCACAGTCCCAGCAGACCCACAGTGCACTGAGGAGGGAGAGAATATGCCCAGTCACACCAAATCGCATCACGCGTCCAGGCCCCCGAGGCATATAATACGGTATTACAGAAAGGGAATTTGATTATAAGCAGCCCAGAATCCTGTTATTTCATTAAGCACCTTCCCATTCTTTTTATTACTTTTTATTACCACGTCCTCCACAGGTTTCCCCCACTGCCTTTTCTGAGTGAAGCTCCAAAATTCCTTTTATTCCATCCACTCGCTCTGGCAGCTCCTCCTAGACTCACTCAACGCCATGCATCCAGGACTTCAGCCTGCAGTTTTCTCACAGTATGCTCTGCCTGTCCCTTGGGATAATCTCTCTTCTTGACCTTGTCCCAAGCCCCTCCTCGCCCACAAAGGCACTGGGTATCATGGTAAATAAAGTGGGAGAAAATACAACAGATACATTCATCGCAGAGGGCTGCTGATGGCATGTGAATGACGTCGTGACCTCCAGCGAACTGGTTCCCTGGGGCTGCAGCAAGCTGCCCCCTCGGCCCGCCCATCCCTGCTTGTTCTTCAGGTCTCTGCTTAGCGTCAGACCCGCAGGGAGCTGTCATGAGCTCTCACCTCCTCAGTCTGAGTCACATCTCCCATCACGAGCGCGCCGCACAGCCATCGGGGATGACGACCACATACTTCATCATGACTTATTTAGTATACCTCTCCCTGCACTGAACCAGCACTTTTTTTTTTTTTTGGATACCGGGGATTGATACCAGGGTCTTTGCTTTAAAAGCTATATCCCTAACTCTTTTCATTTTTATTTTGAGGCAGGGTCTCTATAAGTTGTCCAGGCTGGGGTCAAATGTGTAATCCTCCTGCCTCAGCTTCCCAGAGTGCTGGATGATGCCCACAGATCGCCACATTCGGCTGCCCCATGAGACCTCTGAGGTAAGGACTGTTCTGGTCTTGTTCTAGCGCAGCCCTCGACATGCTACAGGTCTGCACAAATACTTGTTAGATAAATACGTGGAGTGAAGGTCAAAGGCTATATAGCCACCAAGGCTACTCACACCATGCTGATGTGAATTTTGAAGAGAAGAAATGTGAAGAGAGGCGTTTAGTGACAAGTTTAGTGACAAGCAGCAGCTTGCAGAGGTTGTATAGACCTGGGGAAGCAAAAGGCCTCGGGGCAAAATGTTTCCTTGGGTGATTACAGTTCATGCGAGGTTGACTTCAAGTGATGCGTGCAATTGTGCGGAGACAGATGGACACAATGGGGATTAAAACAGTGCTACTTTCAGAAGCGAGACGACGTACTGCTTTGAAATATAGCACTCTGAGTAGAGTTCATTAAGTTTTCATATCATTGTTGTGGAAGTGTTCTGTTAAGGAAAAAGCTCTGTTAAGGACAAGCGGTGCGGACTATTTGAGCAAGAAAGCACTCAGGACTGCTGACTCTTGTCACAAACACGGAACTGATTGGAAGGTCATGCGGGCCCCGCCTTCCAGGTGCTGTGTTAGTGGGGTTCACTCGATCAGCATCTAGCCGGTGTGTGCTGTTCAGGCAGATGCCCCGAGGCCACTCTCGCCCTTCTGTCTCAGCCAATGTGTCCAGCAGGAAGCAGTCCGCATCAGATAGTACAGGTCTCCCAAGGTTCATTATGCAGTTTAAAAAGTTTTTTTTTTTTTTTTTTTTTTTGGTTTTTTTTTTTTTTGTGCAAATCTTTCAGCCTCAACACTCATTAATAAGTCCTTCTGCCTCGTCTATAGGTTCTGTACTCACCACCCCAGTTTTGCTCAAATTTCTTTCTTGTGAAAATAGCAAATTTAGAAATCGCTGCTATCTTTAGCATTCAACTCACAGCCCTTCTACTTGCAGAGCTGAAAGGAACCTGAGAAATCATCTCATTCAATTCACTCTGTTGCGAGGGGAAAATTTTATTTTTACTGGAAGATTTATTTTGCTAAACTCGGATTCACTCTCTCTGCCCTCAGAGTCAAACTCAGAATTTAGAAATGGAGCAGCACCTGGGAGGGACCTGAAGCCACCAGGGAGCAGAGGTAGGCAGTGAATGCGGAGGCCCAGGGAGAGAAGGGTCAGCGCTTTCGATTCGGGGAAGCCACTAGGAACTGAAAAAATATCATTCACCTCTGAAGTCTCTTCCCACACCTAATCCACTGCGGCAGCCTGGGAAGCAGGCAGTAGGAGGCCATCTGCAGTGTGCTCAGCAGCACTGAACTGCTGCTTAAAATGATTAAAACTGCAAGCTTTATGTTGTGTGCATTTTACCAAAATAAAAAAGAAACAAAATAAAACAGAAATATGAGCCTGCTGCAGAGCATGCCAGGCAGAAGTGGCCACGGCCACGTCTCACTCTGCCCATGCGGCCACGGCCACGTCCCACTCTGCCCATGCGGCCACGGCCACGTCCCGCTCTGCCCATGCGGCCACGGCCACGTC